GTGGCCATCCCCCCCGGAGAGTGATTTCTCACTTTCTGTCTCTCCGTCTCTCTCTGTCTTTCTGGCGAGCGCATGCGCCCTACAGCAAAAACCTCTCCATAGAAAGAAAGAAAGAAAGAAAGAAAGAAAGAAAGAAAGAAAGAAAGAAAGAAAGACATTGTATAGTCCTTTTACTAGTGAAAAATTCCAAGGTTTTTTGTTTGTTTGTTTGTTTTTTATATGCAGTGGACAACATGGTTTTTCCAGTGTGATTATAGTACATATTAGTCAAGTCAGAATATATATTATATTACCATATACATCAACAGATTTAAAAATATTTTATTTATTTATTTACATTCAATGACTGTATCATTACAGTATACCAAATGAATTTTACCATTCTGAATACACTGTATATTTGTTCAAAGATATTACCATACATATTTTCATCAACAGATACTTTTCCATTTTCATGTCCCTTAAATGTCTTGCCTCTTTCTCTTCCCCCTTGATTACCCCTGTCTCACCCTCTGCTATTTTCCATCCTCCTCCCACACTGTCTCTAGTATTTATAGCTGCTCTCCATGCCTTTATACCCTCCAGTCTTTCAGTTTCTGCCATAGAGTGCAGACATTCAGTATATGTTGAATGGCGACATAAAGTGTCTCTCTTTCCTAGTCTGGCTTGCTCTGTTTAGCAGTAAATCTTCCATATTCATCCACTTTCTATCAAACACCAGGGTTTCATTGGTTTTATGTCTGAGTAGTATTCTATAATGTATATGTGCCACACTTTTTCAATCCATTCATCTGTTTATGGATATTTAGGTTGGTTCCATGTCTTGGCAATTGTGAATAATGCCACAATGGACATGCAAGTGTTTTTTTCAACTGAGTGCATTCCTATCCTTTGGGATTATACCCAGGAGTGGGATTTCTGGATCAGATGTTAGTTCTATTTGTAGGTCTTTGAATAATCTCAATATTGTTCTCCATGGTGGCTATACTAATTTATATTCCCAACTTCATTTTGGTGTCTCTTAAGTGTTTGTTTTGCCCCCTCCCTCACACCTCTTATTACCTATCCACTTTCATAAATACATCATAACTTTGCCAGTGATTCAATATTTAAATGCTATAATATTTGATAAGCTTTAATATTTGGTAAAAGTCACTTTAAAAAAAATGTGCCACTGGGGCCAGCAGGTGGTATGGTAGTTAAATCTCTGGTTACCCAAATGACCAAATATGGTTTGAGCGCCAGATTCAGTGACTTGAAAATCATGCCAGGCACATGTTCATGCATACCCAAAATCTTGAAAAGAGGACAGAGGAGGGATTGTGGCATGGCCTTCCCCCTGGGGGGTGATTTCTCATTTTTCCACTCTTTCTCCAGCAAGTGCACATACCCTATGGCCAAAAAAAAAAAAAAAAAAGTGACTAACCTGGACGTTTTGGGTGTGTGTGATGTGTCTGTGCCTTCCCCATTTTCTATTGAGTTTCTTGTATTTACTGTGTGGCTTTGTATACATTTTTTTCTTATATATTCTGTACAAGGCTCCTTTGACTTATTTTGTACTCTCTTAATGGCATGTATTGATAAGTCTGTGTTACTCATTTTTTAAAAAATTTATTTATTAGTATATTTTTAAAATTTGCTATAGGACACATGTGCTCACCAGAGAGAGTGAGAGAGCAAGGGAGTGAGAGTGAGAGAAAGTGAGAAATCAAGCAGCCAGGTCTGAAACTCCCACTGTAGTCAGCTGTGTGGGAGTCTAGTACCTTAACCACACCACCTGCTGGCCCCAGTGTTGCTAATTTTAATATTCTCCAGATTACCTGTCTGTTCCTTAATGGTTAGTGCTAACTTGTCCTGTGTAATTAATTTTTGACTAGTGATATGCAGGTCTTTTTCCATGTTAGCTTTCACATTTACATCTATAATCTACTTGAAATAATTTTTTTTCTTTTATTGGAGAGGTTTTTGCCATAGGACACGTGTACTCGCCAGAAAGACAGAGAGAGACAGAGAGAAAGAAAGTGAGAAATAACCCCCCAGGGGGGATGGCTATGCTGCAATCCCTTCTCCTCCATTCTCTCGGGATCTTGGGCATGTACGCATACACTCCAGGTGTGAGGTTTAAGTCACTGGGTCCGGGACTTGAACCACGGTCAACTACATGGGAGTTCAGCGACATAGCCATTACGACATAGCCTGAAATAATTTTTTAATGTGGTAGAAACTATTCCTTTCACTTTGCTTATAAAAAATAAAAAGTAAAAAGTAAATTTTTCTGAAAATATTTTAATTTCATATTAAAGTTTAAAATAAGTTTTTATTGGATATGGAGGTTTTTTTATTATTTTATTATTTTTTTTAGAGAGGTTTTCGCTATAGGACGCGTGCGCTCGCCAGACAGACAGAGAGAGACATAGAGACAGAAAGCGAGAAATCACCACCCAGGGGAGATGGTCACACCACAATCCCTTCTCCTCCATTCTCCTCTCAGGATCTTGGGCACGCACGCACACGCGCCCGGCATGAGTTTTAAGCCACTGGGTCCGTGACGCGAACCGCGGTCGACTACATGGGAGTCCAGCGACATAGCCATTACACTAACTGCTGGTTCCCTTGGATATGGAGTTTTAGGGTTGGAGATAATTTCTTTTAGCACATTGAAGGTGTCATTGCACTGTTACTGCCTTCCATTGTATTTGTTGCAAATTCATCTTTAAATCTGACTCTTAGTATATTGACATTACCAGGTCTTTTTTTCACTAGATAATGTTATATATACATTTTTAATCTTGGTTTTTAGCAATATCACAATGATTGACCTGAGTGTAATTTTGCATTCATTCGACTTGGGAATCATGATGCTATTGAAACATTGGTTTGACATTATATCTTCCATTAATTTGGCAAATATCATTTGTTATCTCTTTAAATATTGTTTTTATTGGGCCAGCAGAAGCATGGTGGATCCCACATGACTGACCACATTTGGAGTCCCAGACCTGACAGCTTGAAAACATGCTGGGTGCTGGGACCAGCAGTTGGCATAATGGCTATGTTGCTGGACTCCCATGTAGTAGACTGTGGTTCGAGTCCTGGACCCAGTGACTTAAACTCATGCCAGGCGCATGTGCATGAATGTCCAAGATCCTGAGAGGAGAATGGAGAAGGGCTTGCAGCATGGTCATCCCATCTGGGGGGTGATTTCTCACTTTCTGTCTATCTCTGTCTGTCTTTCTGGCGAGTGCACATGCCCCATTACAAAAACCTCTCAAAAAAAGAAAAAGAAAGAAAGAAAGAAAGAAAGAAAGAAAGAAAGAAAGAAAGAAAGAAAGAAAACATGCTGAGTGCACATCATGCACACCCAAAATCCCAAAAGGAGAGGGGGAGGGGAAGGGATTGTGGCATGGTCACCTACCAGGGACCAATTTCTCCTTTTCCCCTTTCTCTCTCTGGCAAGCACAAAAAGATCTAAAAAGAAAGAAAGAAAAGAAAGCTGTCCTATCAATATTTCAAGTTTATTCTTGCTACAGAGTATAACCATTCAGGGAACCCCACAAAAACCCTGAAGTACTTTTCAAAGTATTTTGTCTTTGCTGCACTTTGGCCACCAAGTCTGGCCCCCCTCTAACTCTCAGAGGGCATCTGGAGACTGTTCAACTTATTGGTACACATGGATGCTCACCATTTCACACCTCTTCAAATTCGTGTTGCCTTCCTTGCTCTCCGGGACTTTAATATATTTTCAATAATTTGTCCAGTGTTTCTAGCTGTTCTTGGCAAAAGGGTAACTTTGCATTGTGACAGTCCATCTTAAGCAGAAATCCCTTTTAACTATAATTTTTTTTTTTGAGAGATTTTCACTGTAGGGCGCGTGCGCTCGCCAGACAGACAGAGAGACATAGAGACAGAAAGCGAGAAATCACCCCCCAGGGGGGATGGTCACGCCGCAATCCCTTCTCCTCCATTCTCCTCTAGGGATCTTGGGCGGGCACGCACGCACACGCGACCGGCATGAGTTTTAAGCCACTGGGTCCGGGACACGAACCGCGGTCGACTACATGGGAGTCCAGCAACATAGCCATTACGCTAACTGCTGGTTCCCTTAACTATAATTTTTAATTTGCATTTTTTATTAAAAAATTTCTAGGTTTACAGGTCAAGAATTTATTTCTTTTAGGAATTTATTTTTACCATTTTTTTGTTGGGTTGCTGATCCTCATCTTTATTTTAGGAACTCTTTATGTTTAATAAACATTGTATAATGTGTACATAATTAATTTAACTATTAAATTTTTATATATTTAAGATATTACATTACATGCTTAGGTATGTTAAAGCTTCAACCACAGCAAATGGATGAGCAAAATGGAAAACCTTTTGAAATTAGGTAAATGGAGGACGGTCACAATGGAAGCCAACTTAAGACTTTGGATTGTATGTCCAAAATGGCAGCATCTGAGATGGTCTCCTGGGGAGACAACTAAGCCATTCATTTATGTTTAAACAAACAAGGGAAAAAAGAAAGAAAGAAAGAAACCTCACTGTCAGGAGAATGACTCTTTTAGCTTTCAAGTATGCCTAAGGAAAAATGGTTCTACTTTTTTTTGTCTTTAAAAGTTAAGCTTCATCAACACACACACACACACACACACACACACACACACGCTCACGCGCGCATGCATGCACACTCCCCTATATTTATGTTGTAGCTTGTTCTGATTAAACCAAGTTTTCCTTCTTTCTTGCCACCGTATTTCTAATTTGAGAAATCATGTATGTATGTATGTGATAACCTCATGAATTAAAGAGAACTTAGAAGACATTGCCAAAGTATTCAAACAACTCAACCCACTATTTCCGCCTTTAACCTTTCCTGAAAAGAAGTTGAATCCCAGGCGTATTTTTAAATTTAAGAGGGCAATGGAGGGTGACAGAACAATTGGCAGTCAGGCTGTTATAATTCTCTATTAATCAGGGACTATCTTCTTTCCCTCTCTCAGTTCAAAGCGAGGACACACCTAGAGTGCCTGTGAAAAGCGAAGACTCCAGTGATACAGAAAATGCTGCAAGTCCTGATGGTAAGGTTTTTAGCTATTTGGAATTTCTGCAAACTACAAATCTGATACATGTTCTGTGTGTAATCTAGGATTAAAGGAGCAATCTGTTCGATGAATCAACATATTTGGTGAGACCAAGATAAATTTCAAAACCATGTTTCACTAGGAATAAAAATGGCAGCCTCTTTTATTTATTTATTGTGTTTTAAACTGAAGCTAGCTGTTTTTTTTTTTAAATAGCATAAGTCTCAGTTTAATTATGCCTAACAATAGTAATGCCATAGAGGATAATTCTAAGACTAAACTAAACTGATATTTACCTGATAAATTGTATGGAAACATCACTCACATCTGCAAAAGGTACTTGCCTATTGTCCCTCCTCCATCAACACTCGAGGTACCCTGACTTGAGATCAGGCTGTGCTGCTTCTTGCATCTTCATCATTTTGTCTCACTGTATCTCATGAGACATTGTGACCAAAAACAGTGAGTTTTTAATAGCCCTCTAAGTTTAAAAAATTCTATATCTATCCAGATACACTATTGAAGGCATGTAAATATCCCAAGCCTCACACATATTAATGTTCCCTTGTCCCTGCAGAATGTTCCCAAACCTTTGAAATGCCATCACTTGCATTAGAAAAATCACTATATAAACTTACACGATTTAATAAATATTTGACTCCACAAGTCTATAAGAGAACAATTTGCTCTTTGGGTTATTTTAGACAGAGAAAACTACATTACTTTGAGCTGATAATGACCTTGGGAATAATTCATCCAGTAGTGGAAGTTACATGACAGCTTATAACAGTTTCTTAGACTAGGTGTCCCTCCCTGCCATAGACTTATTTCCTGAATTGCCTCCCTTCAGTATAAAAAAAGCTTTGTTGTATGAACTAGTTTTTACTCATGGACATTACCTAGAAAGACATTATTTTTTGCTATAGGGCACATGCCCTTGCTGGAAGAGAGAGAGAAAGAAACAGAAAGTGAGATATCACCCCCTAGGGGGATGACCATACTGCAGTCCCTTCTCCTCCATTCTCCCTTGGATATTGGGCATGCATGCACACATGCCCAGCATTAATTTTAAGCTGCCGGGTCTGGGACTTGAACTGTGGTCAGCTACATGAGAGTCCAGTGACGTAACCATTACACCATCTGCTGGTCCGGAAAGACAGTGTTCTTAAACCCCACACCCATTCATCAAAGCCACAACATGTAAATCACTCTCAGTTGAATTAAACCTGCCCCAGCCTGATTGTGACACTACATCTTTTTTAGGTTTTTGCCATAAGATTTGTGCACTCACTAGAGAGAGGGCCAGTGAGAGGGAAAGTGAGAAGTCACCCTCCCCCTCGGGGAATGACAACACTGCAGTCCCTTCTTCTGGGATTTTGGGCACACACGCACACATGCCCAGTATAATTTTCAAACCACCAAGTGTGGGACTTGGTTGCTTGGAGCCACATTCAGCCATGAATGAGTCCAGGACCATAACTACCAAGCTACCTGTTGGCCTCTATAGACTGTTTCTCTTTTAAATAATTACTATTATTATTATTATGTTCTTTAATTTGCTATAGTATGCAAATGCTCACCAGAGAGAGAACGTGAAAGAAAGAAAGCCACGAGGTCTGGAACTCAAACCCCAGTCAGCCATGTGGGAGTCTAGATTCTTGGCCACCATAACACCTGCTGGCCCCTCTATAGACTTTTATTTTTTTAAGAATTATTTTATATAATTTTATTTATTTTAATTTGACCAGAGAAGGACAGAGAGAGAGATAGACAGACAGTGAGAAAGCAAGCCGCCAGTTCTGAGACTCAAACCATGATCAAGCATCTGGGAGTCCAGTGCCCCTAACCACCATGCCACCTGCCGGCCCCTAGATTGGTTTTTAACTAATTATTTACAAAGCATGTTCTGAGGAATATCGGGCCCATATACTGTTCCTTAAATAAAAAGGAAAGAAGTGTAGGGGAAAACTGAGTTTTAGCCCTTACATGGAGGTTACTTGCATGTATAGAGGAGGACTGCAGGCTCTCAGAAGTCAAGAAATGTATTTAACCTGGTTAACATTACTTCTTCCAAACTTCAGTGATCATGGAATGCTTTTCATAGTAACATTTATTAATAGGCTTTGGAACTAGTGTCCTTTGGTTGAAAGAACAAAAAAAGCATGTTGTCCTGTATTTTATTCTGCGTACTCCCACCTTGAGACACGAACTATATACCAAGATGGACAACTTACAAATGATTCTCTTTACATAAGCAGAGTTGCTCCATCCGGACAACTTATAGCTCGGGGACCAGTTCATGGAGTGGTTAAAGCTGCTGGATTCCATGTGGCCAACTTTGCCACTTGAGTCCTGGACCTGGTGGCTTGAAAAAATGCAAGGTGTTGAGGGCATACATATGAATGTGCAAAAATCCCAAAAGGGGGCAGAAATGGAGAAGTGATTGCATTATGACCATGCCTCATAGGAGATGCTGTCTTGCCTTCCCTCTCTCTCTGCCTCTCTCCAGTGAGCACTCACACCCTCTGACAATTTAAAAGAAAAAAAAAAGTGCTCACACATCATTAGAAATTCAGGATAAGTTTACAGGTGGGAACAAGAACACTGGTCTCTTTTGGGGAGGATATTTGACTTTCCTGGTTGGTTCCCAGTTGGAAGCAGAAAAAAAATGAATCAGGAAGCTGTTATTTGCTGACCATTCTGAACCAGTTGCTGCAGAGGTTGTAGTTCGTTGCCCAGGCTGGTTGCTACAGAGATTTTTAAGTCATAGTTCTATTATTTCATATGAGCTGGCCATTATCTATCTGTAGATTCAGTTTCTCAACTTACAATGTAGGTGATGGTGTTTTAAAAATATCAATCTCATTAAACTTGCTGACCCTTGGAAATTTCCAGAGTGACTGCTATGCCTGTTCTGGGCTACATCTGGAGAATGGCAGTAATTATGCATTCTATTTTTATGCAAATGATCACATAGAATATACACAGTCAAGTAGAAGTGCCCATTTTATCTGGTTTTGTGATCTGGTTTAGATGTTTGCTTTTCTCTTTCATGGTGTTCACTGCCGCCATACCCACTGGCAGGTTTACAGGAGCTGTTTTGAATTCTGAAATTGAAAACATAGCAAACCAAACAGGCCTGTTGGCATGGCCATTTTGGAGGGTGCTGCTCACTGCTCCTCATGTCAATGAGCTCTTTTGCTTTGTTTTATTTTCTTAGCTATCTATTAAGACCTTTGGATTTAAAGATGGTAATAAAAACACCCCAGCTGCCAAAACCGGTATGAAATGATAACTCGGCTTCTACAGTTCACTGAAGAGGCAGTCCTTCTCTTCCCGACCCCCACCAGTAAAAATCTACAAGAATAGTCCCTAAATCTTGAATAAATGAAAACAAATTGAAAAGGGGCATAAGATATCAAATCACAGGCCATTTCAATGCATTTAAGAAATTTAGGTTTAAAAAATATTTTACCTTTTCTCTTTTCCTTTTTTGTTACAGTTGAAATGAATAGTCAGGTTGACAGTGTCAATGATACAACAGAGAATCACCAGGAAGATTAATAGGTAAGATGCCCCTATGAGGGGATTTTCCATCGATTTAACCAGCCATGGGAACTGTTTGCAAATGATATATTAGATTTCCTTCTAGTTTTGCCAAGTCCCACAGCCTGTCTTAGACTAAACTTTTAAGATCTTTAAACCAAATGACAGGGTGCAAGGAGAAAAGATTACCCCCAGAAGCTTGTCCTCTTTAAGGAGAAAAGATAAGCCACAGCATATTCAAATTAGGCGGTACCCTGGTTTTCTGTGCTTTGACAAGAAAATTTTTTTCCATCCGTCTCACCCTCTTGCCTCCTAGAGTGATCAAATTATTTCCAGCAATCTCAAGCTGATTCTGAAGCATTGCTTCTCCAGAAGCTACCTGCTGAGTTTTTTGGCATATCTGTTTTTAAGCATAACACTAAATCTTTGCCCTGGAGATTATGTAAAGTAACTGAGTGTGCATGGAACAGGCCTGCCTTAAGTCCTGTACTCTCACACTGCTACCTGTGGCCCTCTGCGTCTGCACCAAAGTGTTGTGTTGAGCTAAATGAGCCTTAGGGAACTCTTCAGGAAGTAAGTATGGACCAGACCATGTTCAGGATATCTTCCAGGCCAATATTCTAAATCCCTCAGCAGAGACTTATGTACATCTAGAATAACAACCGGTCTATAACACTTTTACACATCTTGAGGGCTGGCGAGAAGAATTAGAAGAAAGAAATCAGCCTGACTCTTATAATTACTTCAATTCCTATCATAAGATATTTAGTTGTTAAGAAAAAAACTATGGAATGTAAGACACAGACGAAGTGTTGACATGGTTGACTCCCAGCACCTCCCTGCATCTGTCCTTCCCATAATGGTCTTGAACATCAATTGCATTGAAATGTGATTGCTTATATGTATAGTTTAGGATTGCTAAAACATATACACTCACATAAACAAGTTTTTATAAACATTCATCTTTTTTTTTTAACCTTGCTCATGTATTTAAGGTATTCTACTAAGCTACAGAAATGATATGGCTGAGAAGTTTCCATTAAAAAGTAATGAAGTGAGACTAAACCTGAACAATTTAAATGCAAGTTCCTCAGAGTTTTCCTGCTGTTAGCCCTCTCGTTGGTCTAGGTTTTTCTTATATATCTTCTCATGCTTCTATGTTTTTACTATCCAGATAACATACCAGGATATGTGTCTTCCTTGGTTAATGTCAAAATAATATTTTCTTTGACCACACATAAGTGTGAACTTATATGTTAACCCAACTGTTGGGTTGTCAGAAAAGTCATGACATATTTTTCTATGTTTTTCTACATAAAAATGCATCATGACTTTTCAAACCACCCAATAAATATGTTGTTGAAACTGAAAGGCCAAAAATTATTTCAGAGAAAACAGATCTCCAGGAAGAAGTGAATTTCACAGGGTCAGTGGGCTGATGAATGGAAGCTTAAATACTCCCAATTCACTATTCTTTGGTGATACCATACAACTCCCTAAATGATCGTGAGCTTATGCACACTGTTGCCACAGAACAGTCCTCACTGCTTCCCACAGCAGCATTTGTACACAGCTGGGTGGGTTTGTAGCAGTTCTCCAGTAGTTCATCACAAAGGAGGACTATTTAATTTTCTGAATCACATTTTCATGAAAATTGGAAGCACAATTACAGAAGTCAAAGACATGATGCAAGAATGTTCAGTGTTGTGTAATCTGTAATTGTGAAAACTCAGGGGTACCATAAATGACAACAGGGGGATGGTTCAGTGAATCAATGTAATACATTGCAAATGTAACAAGTTTCAAGGATTTGAGGCCAGTGAGATGGTTATACATCCTGAACCTTTGCTTCTGGAGAAATACGGCAGACTGAGTGTAGCTTCCAACTTGAACTTTAAGAGCTCTTATAATTTTTTTTTTTTTTCGCACTCTCGTAATGCTTGCTCCTAGAATCTAGAGACCATGTAAGAAGGTCAGGCTATACCAAAGGACGAGCAAGGTCACATGGAGAGGTCCTGGAAACAAAGAGGCCATTTTGAATGTTCTCGTCCCAGTGTTCAGCATTTGGAGCAGATGGACTGCCCAGCAGAGTCTAGGCCAGATTATAGAGTCTTGAGAAATAAATCACTGATGTTTGAAGCTACTAAACTTAGGACTTTAGATCGTGATACAGAGTTAAGGCCTATGGCCAGGTTCTTGTGTTCTAATGCCCACCTAGGACATTCAGCCATTCAAGGCCAAGAGTCAGAAGTGGTACCTCTGTGTAAATTGATCTGGGATTCCCAGCTTGAGAAATTAATAAAACTTGTGTTTATATAGGATGCTATGGGGCGGGGTAGGGGGAGCTCCTAGAGATAGAAACTATAACTGCACCTTGAGTTTGAAACAAAAATTTATGCTCTCAGTCATGCAGTAACAAAATGATACATTAACTTAATAATTGATTATAAATCAGTATTATTCCTGAAGTATGAGGCAAACAGAAATATGATACCATCATATGGAATTCCTACAGAGGAATAAAAAGATTCTGAAGATGAGTTCACAAGGTTAAGACTTGCAAAACACACAAGGAAATAGTCCATCATGAGTGAGAGTCAGTGGGCAAAATTACAGGACAACTAGCACATGAGAATTTGAGAGAATAGAAAATTTTGAAAATTTCATAAAATAACTACATAAAAGATTTAAAAATAAAACAGATATAAAACAATAAAAAAAAGAGCAACACTGAAAAAGTAACAATGGAAAGACCAAATAAAAATGTAGTATAAAAGACAAATAAAGGGACCAGCAAATAGCGTGGTGGTTAAAGCACTGGATTCCCACATGGCTGGCCACACTTTGAGTCCCAGATACCTAAGATCCCAGGAGAAGAATGGACAAGTGTGTATAGTTTAGGATTGCTAAAACATATACACTCATATAAACAATCACCCTCTGGGGAGTGATTTTTCACTTTCTGTCTCATTTTTTCCTCTCTCTTTCTGGCAAACACAACTCCCCTATGGCAAAAACCTCTAAAAAAAAAATTAAAAATTACGCTGGCCACCACATGTATGCCCAAAATCTTAGGAGAATGGAGGAGAAGGAATGGCATCATGGCCATCCCTTCCAGCGGTCAATATCTCAATTTCTCTCTTCCTCTCTGGTGAGTGTACATGCTCTATGGCATAAATCTTGGAGAAGGAAAAGAGAAATGAAGATCAGAAAGAGAATAAGCAAGCCATTTTATGTCCAATAACAGCACTGCAAAGAGATTACCAATAGCAAATATTTGAAAGTTAATGGCAGTAGATTTATCAACATTGAAAAAGTCATGGATTTTAAATCAAAACAATAAATTACAAGGACTTGTATGCAAAATAAATCCATACCTAGAAACTTCAGAAAACCAAAGATTAAAAGAAATAAAATAAAGAAAAAGAATAGCTTGCCTAGAAAGAAATAACTATTATCTAGTCAGTAGGTTTCTCAACACTAATAGTTTAGGGGAGATGACAATGGAATTTTATACCAAGTCTTCAAAACTTAGAAAAAATATTTAAATATAGAGTGTGATAGCTTTGCTATCACTTAAGAAAATGATCTCTACCATTTTCAGAAGAAAAAGGTGGTTACTCACATTTCTTTTTCTTAAAAGCTACTAAAGTATGCATAATATTGAGAAGAAAATTGAGTGTTAAAGAAGGTACATGAAACAATTATAAACAATTATAAATTATAAACAAAGAAAATGTCAATCTCAGAGGTGAATGAAAATAGAGTATAAAATATATAGTAAAAATTGGTGAGCAGTTAAAAATAGAGTGAAAAAATTGTGTATGTTTTCAATAAATGAAATAAAGCATACTTTTTACTGTGTGAGTTTGTATATACTTGTCAATATACATGTACATAAAAGTATAAAAACATTCAAGTTGTTGATTTATACAAATGCCAGGATTTTGGTTGTTTCTGGAAAGAAAGAGAAATAGTTCTAATTTATCATCTACCAGGACTTCAGTGTATCAGATTAGCAGGTGGCATGATGGTTAAGGAGCTAGACTCCCAAATGGCCAACTGTGTTTTGAGTTCCAGATCTGGCAGCTTGAAAATCATGCTGGGTGCAGGCGCATGCATGCCCTAAACCCCAGGAGAACAGAGGAAAGAAGGTATTATGGCATGGCCATCCCTTCTGAGGGGGTAATTTCTCACTTTCCTCCTCACTGTCTTTCTCGCTCTCGCCCCTGAAAACACGTGCCCCTGGAGAAAAAAAAAATCAAAATATAATTTTAGTGTAGCTGCAATATTTTGCTTTTTAAAAACAAAAATTATGAAGAAATTTGAAAAATATTAACACATGTCTAGCTAGGGATTTATATATGCAGGATTTTTTAAAAACTGCACAATTTTTTAAAGTCCATGGAAAATGACTATTATAAAAAAAACTATGCATGGATTTCAAAATTTTTTACACCGAAGTAAACTACTTTAATCCCAGTTTTTCCCAAACTTTTTGAAATCCCCTTTTTTCAAGATGTTATATTGTCATCTATCATTATAAAATTTATTATTAAAAGTTTCTGATTTTTATCTAATGAAAAATGTAGAAAAAATATTATACAAGAATCCTCCATAAATTAATTATAGAAATACATCAGTATTTACCATCAGTGGAGGAATCATGTAGGATTCTTTCTTCTCCTATTTTTTGATACTTTAAATCTTGTCTACAATAAGCAAGATTCTATTTTTGTATATACATACACAGCTCAAAAAAAATTTTTTTTAAAGATTCATAAGCCACTAAGAAAGAAATTTAGCTTAGAGATCACCTGCTCTAAGTCTTCCTTGCAGGGATGAGTCATCTAAGACCTGGAGAAATGGTTGATGTGCTTGCATTCATATGCTGATTCACTGTTATTTATAAGGGCTTCCTGAACCTAGTTTCTTCTACTTTGCCATAGCAAACATTTTTTTTCCCTATTAGTCTAGTACATTTAATGATATGAAGGGCATCTTACGACAGTTAGTAAACTGGACTTTTAGATTCCTTCTAAGCAGAAACTAAAGAGAATGACTATTAGTTAATTAACGTCAAACAGCTCATGAAATATATTTGGAATTCACATTTTATGCTGTCATTCCCAGGCAGCAGGGGGGACTTGCACAAAGTTGGTCATGAGCCTTTCCAGGTTTAATTTGATTTGGATTGAGATTTCTAACCACAAAGGATTGCAGATATACAATACAGAACCATGACAGGTATCACCACACTCCCACCAGTACTGAATTGCAAAGTTAATAATGTCAATTGTTACAGAGAATGTGGAGCTACTGGAACCCTCACCCATGGCTGGTGGGAGTATAAAATAACATGATTTGAGAAAACTGTCAGTTTCTTACAAAGTTAGGCATATATCCATCCTATGACCCAATAATTTTACGTTTTTGAGAGAAATGAAAACCTATAGGTCCAGCCACAGTGGTGCTAGTGACTGCGCAAAACTGAACAACGCTGGGGACCAGCAGTTAGCGTAACGGCTATGTCGCTGGACTCCCACTTAATCAACCACAGTTCACGTCCCGGACCTGGTGGCTTAAAACTCACGCCGGGCATGTGTGCGTGTATGCCCAGGATCCTGAGAGGAGAATGGAGGAGAAGAGATTGCGGCGTGGCCATCCCTCCTGGGGGGTGATTTCTCGCTTTCTGTCTCGCTGTCTCTTTCTGTCTGGCTGGCGAGTACACGCGCCCTATGGCAAAAACCTCTCAAAAAAAAAAAAAACAAAAAAAACACTGAGCAACGCTGGAGCCATACAGGAGGCCCAAGTTCAGATCTTGGCAATCTGATCCTGTTTGGGAGCATGGTAAGACCCTGTTTCTCTCTGTCAGAAGAGTGAGCGAAAAGTGAAAATCTATACCCACAAATGCCTTGTACAATATTTATAGATAGTTTACTCACAAAATTCCAAATTTGGCATAACCTGAATGTAGACCAGCAGAAAAATGGACCCCCTCAAAAACCTGATCTATCCACACAATGGAATGCCATTTGGCAATAAAAAGCAAAAGATTCCCGTTAGCAAGCACCAACATGAGTAAGTCTCAGAAACACTATGCTGAGTGGAACGACCCAAGGACAAAAGTGATAGCTGTGTAATTCTATTTGTATGTAGTTCTCGAATTGTGAAAAGTAACCTGTGGTAATAGAAATCTAGGGAAGGGAGCTTACTGAACTGATGGAAATGACATTTTGATAGTTTGTATGCATTTTTAGAAACAGATTATGCATTTTCAAAGTATGCATTTTTCAAAACAGATTGAACTATAGGCTTAAATCTGTACATTTCCTAATAGGTAGATTTTTTTTCAAAGATTTATCTAATCCCACTTTTTGTTATCATTTTTTAATTTGACCAGAGACAGAGAAAGAAAGAGAAAGCAAAAAAGCAAGTCACCAGGTCTGTGACTCGAACCACGGTCGGCCATGTGGGAATCCAGCACATTTAACTATCATGCCACCTGCCCTTAATAAGTAGATTATTATAGGTATTGGGTCATTGGAGAAGTCATGACATATCTTTGTTTTTCTATATAAAAATATATCATGACTTTTCCAATCCCCCCAATATTTTGGAGATTTTTTTTTTAAAAAACTGAGGTATAGGTCTAGCCACTGTGGAGAACAATATGGAGGTTGCTCAGAGACCTTCAAATAGAACTACCATATGATCCAGTGATTCCACTCCTGAGTATCTACCCAAAGGACAGGAGAGCACTCAGTCAGAAAAGCACTTGCACAACTATATTCATTGCAGCATTATTCACGATTGCTAAGATATGAAACCAACCCAAATGTCTATAAACAAATGAATGGACTAAAAAATTGTGTCACATATACTCCATGGAATACTATTTAGCCATAAAAAACTACAAGGCCCTGGTATTTGATAGAAAGTGGATGAATATGGAAGATTTGTTGCTGAGTAAAGCAAGTCAGGCTATGAAAGAGAGACATTGTAGGTCTCCACTTAACATATGACTGCACTTAATGGTAGCGATTGAAAGACTGGAAAACAAAAAAGCATTAAAAATTGTAATGAACACTAGAGACAAAGTGGAAAGCGTGTGCATGTGCAATGGACACTAGAGACAAAGTGGAAAGAGGTCGGGGGGAGGGAAGAGCATAGGAAAAAAAATTTGGGGAAAAATAGAGAGGTAAGACACTTGCAGGACACAAATATGGTCTATTATCTGTTGATGAGAATGTGTGTAGTATTCTCAGCTGGGCCAGACTGAGGTAAATATCATGCTTGGTAAAGTCTCTTTACAATCTAAATGATGTATAGCAATTGAATGTATGAATAAAAATAAAAACCTGAGGTATAAAGAGTATAGGTTCTTCTAGAGCACAGTATGTTAAAATTCTCTCATGGATAAAGAACACATCAGATACTTGATAATTAAGGACTCTAGTGACGTAACCATCATCAATTTTGCAGATCAGCATTATCTAAATTGTTATTATTGATCATATGCTGATCTGGAAACTAGAGCATGTGACTGGGCCTGCAAAGGAAAAATCCCCCCTTCAAGATTAGGTTTTTCCAAAGAATAATTTGAAGAGTTGAAGTAATTGAACCCATCAGTCAAACCACACTGTCATTGTGACACACGTGTATTAGCAGTGATTTATATGCTCCTAAAGATACCATGTGTCAACAATTTCAGCCTAGATTTCCAAAGTTCTTTGATAGATAAGTATTCCTAGGCCTATTTCAGGGGTGAGAGACACTTAAATGGCTATATTAAACAGATATTCCTGAGTAAACCTATGAAGATGTTTTATCTTTAATCTAACAGAAGGTTTCTCTTTGTCTTTGGCAGGGGCACAAGCTGAAGCAAAGGATCAAAGAAATGGCACTAAATGACAGTCCTCCGCATTTGCAAGAAATGGCACTAAATGACAGTTCTCCTTGTCATTTAGGCCCTGGGCCCTTTGGGAAAAATGGTGGCACTTGCTGTGGAGGAGGGTGGGGGTGGGGGGAAGGCAAGTCCCAGGAAGGATGGAGAATACTTTTCTCTAATTTCTCCTGCTGCATTTTGTTCTGCTTACCGGTGGAAAAAAGAAAGAAAGAAAAAAAAAAAAGGTATTTCCTTTAATTTGGCGGGAGGACCCACATCAACACATCTTTCAGGCACTATCCTTGTAACTTCTGTCTCTTCTCTCACAACTTTGCTGCAGGGTCTCAGTGGCACTGTTTAATACCCACATGTGTATCCGGGCCCCCGTCTGCTTTTTCAGTTATTTCACAAAGCTGGTTGTACAGTGGTTTCTTTAAAGAAAGGAAAGGAAGACCATTGTTGGATAAGCTGCAAGCTAAATAAGCTAAATTTCAGGAATCACCAACGTCCCAGTGTCAGTACAATCCACAAGGAGACAGGACAGAAAATAAGCAAAGCCCTCAGAAACCATTTGTGCAAGGTCTGGATGATGAGTTGAAAATATTTTATTCAGGGATTCCAAAAGCATAGTCTGTTCCATGTGCTTTATGAGGAACATGGAAGTTGGGTTTAATCCAGAGCAGAGAACAGAGGGATAATGAGGAAGGTGGTCCTTGGCAGCCATCGGAATCTCTTTCTTCATAGCCAGGACACAGGTGCATTCTTCTTTGACATCGGCTTTAAACAGAGCTTATGTGGTTTGTGAGGTTTTTGTCATGCACTTCAGTGTGGAACCCACCAGTGAGATGCACCTGTTTTGCTCCACAAATGTAAGCAATGACTTTCTAGGTGCTGCAGTTAAGAGCCAACAGAGGCATTTAGAACCCAAACATATGCATGTGGATAATACTGCAAGTTCCACTTGAAATCTCTCTTTCTCTACATGCTTTTCATGAAAGAACATCCTATCTTCACACAAGGTTTGATGGCCCACAAAGCATTCTCATTTCAGATGAGAGGCAGTTAGAGTTCTTGCTAGCAGTTTTAACTTTCCTGTCTGGGTGTAAATTTCTCAGGCCAAGTCCAAGGCAGACTTGATGGTCCTCTCATCTAGAAATCATTGAGTCTGTACCTGAAGAAACAACAATTCTGACAACCCGAGAGGATGATGGTACCGTGATCTCAAGGAATGAAGATCTGGAAGAGTCCAGGCCTCATCACAAATGTCCAACCAGAGCCAAGCTAAGGCCAAATACCTGCTTCCCATATCCCACCAGGGTTCCACGGCCAGTCACTTGTTTTCTGTGGAAACTGACATTTTTTGCATATCTTCTTAAATCCATTATCCTGATAAGGGCTTTAGAATTGTAAGTCGTTTGCATTATTTCTCTTAATAGATGGAGAAAAGTAGTAGTTCAAATGAAATAGTTCCTAAATTAAAAGGATATTCTGCTTTCTAAATATACCATCAAATTTCCTCTGGAAAATTTACCTTCCTGTCCTTCTACAACTTTCAGCTTAGCCTTTCTGAATTTATTGCCCTTTCTAGATTATTTGGTATTTTGAAATAATTATTTGGTATCTAGCTATATAAATAAGTTATATATGTAAATGTTTTAACATTTTTGAAAAAGCTACTCAGCAGCACAACAGTAGTGATAGTGACTGTATGATGTTAGAATATGGCCATTTCTCCTCCTGCCATTTTCCTGCTTTGATATGGAAGCATAGATGTCCTCTACTGCCATCAGATGTAGCCTTCTACAAAGACACGGAAAAGTCTCATTTTAAGTGATATAAGTGATGATGCCATCCAAATACTGATGTTTCTGTATTTCATGTCATCTTTAGAATTTAGCTAAAAGTCACCATCACTGAAGTGCTTGACAGATACAATCTGCTAGAACACATTTTCTTCTAATAGTTGGATACTGGTGTTCCTCAACCATAGTAGTGAGTTACAGTTGAAAACAAGAGGGTCGGGACCAGCAGTTAGCATAATGGCTATGTCGCTGGACTCTCATGTAGTTGACCACGGTTTGAGTCCCAGACCGAGTGGCTTAAACTCACACCGGGTGCATGTGCATGCACGCCCAAGATCCCGAGAGGAGAATAGAGAGGAGAATAGAGGAGAAGGGATTGCGGCATGGCCATCCCCTCTGGGTGGTGATTTCTTGCTTTCTGTCTCTCTGTCTCTCTCTGTGTTTCTGGCAAGCTCACGTACCCTATAGCAAAAACCTCTCAAAAAAAAAAAAACAAAAAACAAGAAGGTCGAGGTTTTTTAGTGAAGAAAGATGAAAAACCTAATAGCCCTGCTGGGAACAGCAGGATTGGAATTATCTGCATCCTAGCAGTCTCCTTATCATCAACCACCACCATTTTATTCATTCATTTTAAATGTGGCTGGAATAAAAGTGGAAAGCTGCGAACACTCCGTACCCTAAAGAAAAAACCTCTAAAAAAAAAAAAAAAAAAAAACAAGAAGGTCGAGGTTTTTTAGTGAAGAAAGATGAAAAACCTAATAGCCCTGCTGGGAACAGCAGGATTGGAATTATCTGCATCCTAGCAGTCTCCTTATCATCAACCACCACCATTTTATTCATTCATTTTAAATGTGGCTGGAATAAAAGTGGAAAGAGGGAATTCCAAAAATAAATAAATAAATAAGCAAGTTTTGTATCTAGGAAACTAAAAGGATGAGGAATAAATATTGTCAGTCTCATTCCTGAAGTTTAAGCTTCTTTTGTAATGAAATGACATGTTTATTTTTGCTTTGTTGTGCTTCTTGGTTGCTGTTGGCTATACGAATTTAAGCTTTAAAAGAAATAATGAGGTTCATTTCCATTTCAATAGTAAAATATTGAAATCCAGCTATTGGCCAGATCTGACACTTCAATACAGGAAATTTTTATTTGTCAGGGTTGTCCTCACGCAGTTGGTGCAGTGCATTCAATTTGAAACGTTGGTTCTCCTATACATGAATTCTGCTGTCGATTTCCAACCATACTTTCACCAGGGTGTGTGGCATGAAGGACTATGGGAGGGAGGGAGGAAAATTGGCCTGTATCAGTCCTGTTTGCATACAGAGGGTCAAAGTAGGCCTTCGCCGTCATAGTTGTAATTAAAAAGGTACTCAGTGTGTGAGACAAAGGTGCTTTTTTCCTCTAGCTGGTAACTACTCAGATGATGGACAAGTCTTCTTTCATAAACACTTACAAAGGAGGCATCTGAAACACTGTCTGAGATACTGGGTCACATATTAATCACCGCAGCTAATTGTAAATCTTTCTAGGAAACACTGAAAAGCCTCTTTGTGAATTAATACAGTTCTGCTTGACGCACTTGATTTGAAAAGACATTTCTCTGTATGTGGTGCATGTCAGCTTTGCTTTGAAAATAACAAAGTTAGCAGAATATGTTCAATATATTTTCTTGGGGACTAGGGTTTTTATCATATGATTCATTAAGGATTTGCCTTACCCTGACATTTGTGATATAAAGGAAAATCAGAAAAAAAGTAATTTTCTTGATCAAGATATGTTTTTACTTAATGCAAATAACTGTAGTCTGTTGCTTGCAAGGAAAAAAAAATGTCTTCTGAGATCTGGTATAAACTGCTAAATAGGATAATACGTGCCTCTTTTGTTAAACCAGCATTTAAATGCTGGACTGCTTCTAAATCTGTTTGTTTCTTTTCATCTGTGCCATAACTAAGAAACTTAAACAACTGTTGCCTTCATATTATATTTGTTAGAGCAAAATACAAATAAAATTTGTTTGAGAGGATAACGTGGAATTATCTGTGTTTTGTGAAATTTGTTCTTAAGTCACGAAGAATTAGTAACTCAAAAGGTTTACTTAATATTATCTCTTTGTATGCAAATGTGTGTATTTAAAATCATCCCTGTGAGTTTACCTTTAACTTATTGGTATCTTTCCTTTACTAAGACTGGTTAGTATTTTGGCCATGTTTTGGTTGTGTAGACCCAATAGCGTAATGTCTACATTTTCTCTGAATATAAGATCATTAATTCTCCTAGCAACAGCCTCTGAGATGCAAAATAAGTAATTGTTAAGATAAAGCCAATGGTTCCATGATCATTGGTATCTTTTAGAACCCAGCATCCATGACTGGAATTCTTTCTGGGTACCTTTATGAGCCACTCCCTATGCTGGCTATATGACTGCAGTCATGATCCTCCTCAGTCTATTGTTGATGAAATTAGCATAGCATGGCACAGTTAAAGAGCTTGGCAATGGGCCACCAAAAGTCACCATGGGGAAAAGTCCTTGTTCTTTAATCGGGTTGTCAGAAAAGTGATAACGCATTTTTGTGACAGAAAAACAGGAAAATATGTCACAACTTTTCCAACAACCCAATAAACATGAGTATACATATTCCATCTATTTTCATTTCCTTTATCTCCTACAGAAGAGGTGCTAACAGAGTTATCATTTCAGAAGGCAATAAAGGAAGTCGCACCCGTTAGCAAAGGAAACCAGAGACTTACTTTGGTTTAGGAAGAATAATATTTTTAAAACTGCTATGCCAAAGGAGCATTTTTCTAGTAGTAAATAAGGTTTGATGAGAAAAAATAGTAGGCAGGACAATCTCATGCTGCAATGGGCAATCTCAACAAGGATGCTTCAGAATGACAGTCAAGATAATTTGACATGATTCTAGCACTGCTAGATACAGTTTTTCATTTACATCCAATTTTTCATCTCTTTTCCTCTTACGTTTCTCCCACAATACTTCTTCCCTTTGCCTTACATATACTAAAGGTGGCACTAAACATCACTAACTGGCCCAGCCAAGGAGCCCATGCCGGATGCCCTGCTCAGTAGGCTGAGGCCACATGGGAGGCCCAAGTCTGACTCTACCCCAAGGAGCAGGGGTTAATGGTGCATAGCTGTAGTCTCAGCCACTGGAAGGGTGAAGCAGGAGGATTGTGACAAAGTGACATCCTGTCTAAGATACCACACACCTACCACTACCCTCAAAGGAAAAAAAAAATCTTAATTTGACCAGTGCCTCTCAGGGCTACAAGAGATAACAATACGCTCTTAAGGTGTTTATGCCAAATCTCTGGCACAGTTGTAGTGCTATGAGAACAAAGCACCTCTATGCTTTGGTTTGAAGACAGAAATACTAATGCATACCTGAACTCTCTTCCAAATTTGAATGAGAATGAAGTACCAAGGTATTTTACTTTGTCATTTGGAAAATCACTTGGTAAATTGTTACCATTAGTGTTGGCTATTTGATACATGCAACGTGAAGGCACTTTCTTCAGTTCAAAACTCTACCAAAAGAATAAATGATGTTTACAGTTAGGTAGTAACTATAGTGAGATGAAATCCTATTCCACTCAAATTGATTAAAGTATATCCCCAAAGCAAGGATCCATGAAGAGAAAATTGTTTTACTATAATTAAGTGAAGGATGTGAGTTCTTTAAACATACAGGAAAGTTGAGAATTTTGCACCTGAGAGGCTGCTCCTGGTGATTATATAGCCATCGCCCTTCCACAAAATGAATGTGCTGAATTACATCATAAATGCTATGGATATCATTTGAATTGTCATGAGAAAGAGAGAAAGAAGTTGAGAGGCTCATGAACATTTAAAGAAGAAAAAAAGGATAATTGGTCTGAAGGCTAAGCTCTATCATAAACAGTGCCATGCTGAGAAAATACAAGTGAAAAAGATCAAGATGCATTAAAAGAGGAACACCAAACAAAAGAATGAGGAAGGCTCCAGAAGGAGCAATGTCCGCCTATCTGTTGGACAGGGAAGGACTGTCCTGAGCTAAAATATTTTCCAATATGATTAAACAAAAATGAAAAGAAAAAGCAGGGAAATGGTAAGTTCTTGTACCCAAAGTTCGGGTCCAGGAAGAAACAGAAATACTACAAGTTATTTGAAGGACCAGTAGGTGGTGTTGTGGTTAAGGTGCCAGGCTCCCATATGGCTGACTGAGGTTTGATTCCTGGACCTGGCAGCTTCAGGCTCATGCCAGGTGCATGAGCATGTGTGCCCCAAATCCTAGGAGGAAAGTGGAGGAAGAGGGATTACAATGTGGCCATCTCCCTTGGGTGGGTGATTTCTCACTTTCCCTCCATCTCTCTCTTCCAGTGAGCACATGTGCCCTATGGCAAAACCAAATTGGGGGGCGGGGGCAGATTTATTAAACAGGAAAGAGAAATAAGTCATGGAAGAGGACAAGTCTTCTTTGTTGGAGATTAATATTATTAGAAAAACACCTAAATATGAAAGGTTCATTAGGCCAATGGGAACTGAAAACCACCTTTTGCCTGACAATATTTGGTATAAAGAAGAATCCCTCATCCAAACATATAACTTTGGGTGTTACCACCAAGGGTACTGTAATTGAGATGAACATGAGCAATTTGGACCTTGTGACATAAGAAGATAAGACTATTTGGGAGATATATGCCCAAGTTATAAACAATATGCTGTCTTCCTGGTTTGATAGCAGTTTCATACAAGTAACTCCTTGTAATTTTTGAAGATGATACACCAATCTGGACAACCACCATGACTGTGATGTTTCTAAATACTGCTGGTCTTACATGTCTGCAATCATCAAAAGGTTATTTATTTAATTGTACAAAGCCATTGAAGTTGCTTGTTAAAAAAAAAAAAAACATGAAAACATATATACACAAAGCATTGGCACTAGGTGTACATTTTTAAAGTCATGCTTTCCCTGATAATAACCAATGAATCTGTAAATAAAGGGAAAAGTAGGTACAGCTTTCTCATTAATCCGTATAAAAGAACACAGATTTAAAGGAGATAACTATATCAAAATGCACTTCCCTTACCAGGGGAGGGGTCTATGCCTTTTTCTACTGAAATTGGATGTGACTCTGATTGTTGTCCCCATATGCAGGCAGAAATGGCATGTATCACTTCAGGCAGATACCTTGAAGGTTCATTCTTCTATATCCTTAACTACCATGCCACCTGCCAGCCCCTTTATTTTTCTATATCCTGTAGCACGATCAACAACAT